CACGTAGTCTAGCTTGAAGTCATACTGGTCTATAACTTCAGTCCAGCGTTTGAGTGCGTCAAAGAAAATAGGGAGTGTTTGATGGTTGGTCCTCAAATAGAAGAACCGTTTCAACAAATAGTGCCTCCAGTGGACAAGAGCCTTGTCGAGGGCATAAAGTTCCCTTTCATAGGTGGAGTTCGCCAATTTCTTAGATGGCATTTTCTTGCTCATGTACTCGACCGGCCTGAACTTTTTCCCTTCCCGCTGAGCCAAGACTGCGCCTATGCCATATTGGCTTGCGTCAGTGGTCACTACGAATGGCCTTTGAGGATCGGGAACCACGAGAACCTCATGATGTGTGAGGGCATCCTTCAATCTCTTGAAAGCAGCCTCACATGTGTTTGCCCATTCCCATGGTGTGTCAAGGCGCGTTAGATGTTAAGGGGGATGCGATTTGTACAAAATTGCGGTAATAGCCACACATCCCCAAGAAAGATCTGACCTCAGTCACAGACTGGGTCGTGGCCAGTCCCTAATGCTTAGCCACCTTCGCATCTTCAGGCCTAATCCCTTCCGCGGATACTTCATGACCCAAGTATAAGATTTTAGTGCGACCAACTCGCATTTCTATAAATTTATCTTATACTTGTGCTGTCGGAGCCTATTCATGGTGTGCTGGAATGAACCCGGCGCATTGCAAAGGGCAATGGGCATCACCACAAACTCGTACAGACAGTACCTGGTTTGAAATGCGATATTGTGCTGATTTTCCGGTCTAATGGCAATCTGATGATAGTCGGATTTTAAATTTATCTTAGTGAAATACTTGCATCCCTACACCCTATCCAATATGTTATCGATGCGCGGTAGGGGCTCTGCGTTCTTAACAGTGATGGCATTGAGGCCCCTATAATCAATGCACATCCTTAGTGATCCCCCCTTCTTCGGTACAAATAAGACTGGTGAGACGAAGGGGAAGATGCTAGGCTGTATCCAATCCTTTTCTGTGAGCTCTTTCAGTTGCCGACGGAGCTCGTTCAACTCGGTCGGAGCCATCCTATAGATTCTCCCTTTGGGTATATTGCTCCAGGGATGATCTCTATGGCATGGACAACTTCCCTGTCTAAGACTCCTGTTGGCTCCTCGAACAGATCAGGGTACTTAGCTACGACACTCTCTATCTCTGGGGGTGTTTTAACAACCTTCCCTTTGGCAGAGATAGAGACTAGGAGCATATCCTCCCCTTGGTTCTGTTAATAATAATTATAAAAGGCCGATGTGCACAAACACCCATAGGAGTCAATTAACCTACTAGCTTTGTACTTAGCTAGTCTAACGGTCCTCCCATTAGGTAACTCGAGCTCAACACTTTCCTGTCCCAGTCGAACTTGGGCTTGGCAACCTCAAGGTAGTACATGCCTAACAACATGTCGAATGGTAGGTCGTCACTAACCAGGAATGAAATATTATGATTTAGTTCTCCTCCTCGATAGGAGAAGTGCAGACCACGTCCTTAACGTAGTCTTCTACCGACATGCGCTCTTTGTTGGCCATAGTAGAAGCTACCGGTCTACTCGGGCGTTGTACCCGGTCCTTTAGGGGCAGTCTCTCAACACATTCGCGACTTATAAAGTTTCGAGTGGAGCCGATGTCTACAAAGGCCCTGCATTTTGCGGTCCCCTAGCTTTGTACTTAGCTAGTCTAACGGTCCTCCCATTAGGTAACTCGAGCTTCAACACTTTCCTGTCCCAGTGGAGCTGGGGCTTGACGACCTCAAGGTAGTACATGCCTAACAACATGTCGAATGGTAGGTCATCACTAACCAGGAATGAGATGTTATGATTTAGTTCTCCTCCTGGATAGGAGAAGTGCAGACCACGTCCTTAACGTAGTCTTCTACCAACATGCGCTCTTTGTTGGCCATGGTAGATGCTACCGGTCTACTCAGGCGCCGTACCCGGTCCTTTAGGCGCAGTCTCTGAATACATTCGCGACTTATAAAGTTTCGAGTGGAGCCTATGTCTACAAAGGCTCCGCATTTTGCAGTTCCCTACACCAACTTCCACAATGAAATGTTTCCTCTAGGACCTCTACTTAGTGCCACCCAGGACTCACGAGGGTCACTTGCTGAGCACTCACTTTGCAGGTCCTCTAAGGTCTCAAACACATCCAACGAGCAGAGTATCGTTGGTTCAGGATGCGTCTGCGGGGTGACTAAGGAGTCAATAGCTCTTGAAACGGGGGGGGTACATCACCCGCTTCAACGAGAGTAGACGCAACTATACCTTCTACTGGACCTAGGTGTTTCCCAAGCCGGAAGTCGACGAGGCCCCACTCTGGGAAGAAGGTATCCCACCTTTAGGGGAATATTCTGCGAGACTTCAATGTTCTTGCACTTAAACTGTTGATGGCCATACTCGCCACAGTTAATGCAAGCACCATGCTGGTAACGATCCCACCACACTTCTTGATCCAAACTTGCTCGAACCCATGCGGCTATCTTGTGCGGGTTCGGGGTTTGCCCCCGACTCCTTTGCTGTCCGCCCTTGCCGTGGCCCGCTACCTTGCCTTTCACTACGGTAGCGAGGTTGCTATCCTCAACATCATCCTCGCCGTCTATCTCTGAACCGTCCACAAGATCAGACACACCATCGATCTTAGTTTGATTCCCCTCGGAATCAACCATCATCAATTGACTACCCTTCTTCTTCCACTCTTGTGGACTCTTCTTTCTTCCATCCATAGAGGGGGCCTGAGCACCTCCTAGCGTAGCCTCCAAATCCAAGGCCTTCTTGCTAAAGGTCTCAAAGGCGTAATACTCTAGCCGAGCCTCACTGCTAACAAGTTCCTGATGGTTGTGGGAAGACATATCAAGAACATGGTCAACAAGACCTGTGGATTGTATTCAACCCCAGGACGACAATCAATCGCTCTACAGCTGAGGTGAGATCGCGGACAGACTTGAACTTTTTAGCATCAAGCTTCAACAACCCATCGGTGACAATTTGTGCCTGCTGTGGGTTGTGCCATCGGGCTTCCACCAAATCCATAAAGCCCTCCAATGTGTGGGTCTTAGCCCAATCACCCATGTTTCTACCGAACCCCTTGGAAGCTACTAATCCATTTAGCCAACGAGCTGCTGATCCCTCTAAATAGGAAGCAACACTTATCACTTCCTCCTACACTAGCGTCCTCTTCGCCCCCACCGATACTGGCACCGTTCTCAACCAAGTGTCGAGAGCCTCATCCTTCTTATCTCCTAAGAAGGTTGGGGGTGGTTTCAGTGGGGTATCGGGGTACCAAGGCTGTTACTGTCCAGAGGCGGGACAGATGACGGTTGTGGTGTAGCTCCAGCCGCTGGACTAGAATGCGGTGACAAGGAAGACATATTCCACCCGCTGGACCATAATGCGGTGGTCAAAAGCCGCAGGAGCAGAATGTGGTGTAGCTCCAGCTGCTGGACCAGAATGCGTTGGCGGGGCAGACTTGTACTTTTTAGTATCAAGCTTCAACAACCCATCAATGACAATTTGTGCCTGTTGCGGGTTGTGCCATCGGGCTGGCTTACACCAAATCCATAAAGCTCTCCAACGGGTGGATCTTAGCCCAATCACCCTGGACCAGAATGTGGTGTAGCTCCAACCGCTGGACCAGAATACGCTGGTGGGACAGACTTGTACTTTTTAGTATCAAGATTCAACAACCCATCAGAGGCAATCTGTGCCTGCTGTGGGTTGTGCCATCGGGCTTCCACCAAATCCATAAAGCTCTCCAGTGTGTGGGTCTTAGTCCAATCACCCGTGTTTCTGCCGAACCCCTTGGAAGCTACTAATCCATTTAGCCAGCGAGTTGCTGATCCCTCTCAATAGGAAGCAGCAGTTATCACTTCCTCCTCCACCGTCGTCCTCTTCGCCGTCACCCATACGGGCATCGTTCTCAACCAAGTGTCGAGAGCCTCATCCTTCTTATCTCCTGAGAAGGTTGGGGGTGGTTTCAGTGGAGTCTTGGGGTATTAAGGCTGTTACTGTCCCGCTGGTGGGACAGATGACGGTTGTGGTGTAGCTCCAGCCGCTGGACCAGAATGCGCCTCATCGTGTTATCATTTTCCTGTCCTCTTCGTCAGCAATTTGTTGTTGACAAGAGAATAATGGTTGCGCTTGCACGTGAATCTGTGTGTGAGAGAGAGAGAGACAAACAGAGAGAGAGAGAGATCTGTAGATGGATACCTATGTGGAGTCTGTAGACCCCGCATTGGCTTTACTTGTAATTTACAAAGGTTCATCGAAGTATCCGGGAGTCTTCTTCTTCCTCTGCCTATCCCCAAGCTCGAGCTACGGCGGCACTTCCACTTTCAGCATCCAACCAGACAGCCTGCAAACACCGCACACTCTCCTGAATCCAACACGCCACTCTGCACCACTCATGAAGCCCGGCTGCAGATGATGTGTCCACTCAACAGGGGAGCGCAACTCCCAGGATTGAGAAGAAGAACGTCAACTCGATGATGATGAAGGCCCGCCACATTGAATAAGACTTCAAAGAGTTGCTTCGTGGATGTGCTGTGTACTTGCCCTCAATAGCGCAGCAGGGAAGCAACGCGACTGCCACCAAGACCGTGAAAAGAAAAAGCAACAAAAAGCCTGGAACCGTCTCGCTGCTAACCTTTTACTACACTTCGACTTCGCTCGCTGCTAACGTATTTCTACAATTTGACCTCGAAAAGCAAAACCTACGGGCCCTACTCAGAAAGCAGCTGAATAGGACAAAAGGGACCTCATTCTACCAGGACACAGAGGAGTCCTGGTAAGGGACACGTCAAGGGATCAAGCCCCATGGGGCTTCAAAATGAAGAAAACTACCAAATCCAAACTAGTTACTGGACAGCACCAACTAGGAAACTGCAATTTATTGCAGGAAAATGGGTGCGAAGAGAAATATTCTGAGGGATCTGAATGGTGATGACAGGCCGAGTGAAGTGAGTTATTGAATCCTCCTTTTTTGCGTCCCCTTTTGTGCAGGTAAAACTTCTACGTACAGAATGTGAGCAGAACATGAACTCTATATATTTGGAGCTCTTCAACATGCGGAGGTGGATGATGGAGGTGGCAGAGAAACTTCTGCAACGAGATTTCCGGCCTGGTACCGGATAAGGATGTTTCATAGGAGTTGTTGACAGGGCTTCACTTTGGCTCAGCAGTTGTTTCATAGCAAAGTGTGCTCCCCCCTGCCTCTCCCCACCTGGTCCCCCCTTTCACTCTCCTCCCTTCCCCCTCCTTCCTCCCGGCCCTCCTCTTGTGTCCATGTTCGACCATGCTGTGCATCACGCGCAGCAGCAGCAATAATTATGGGACTGTCCACCTTGTATGGCTGCCTACTCGTCGTTGTAGGTCCAAATTCACATCATAGCCCCTCGCCGCATAGTCATTTGTGTACCGATCCACCCAATAGAGGAGTGTGTCGTGGTAGAAGTCGTGTAGTTGCTAGAAGTGACATGCCAAACGGAGTTATATATGTGCGAGGGAGCAGGAGAGGAGAAGATGGTGATGTCGTAGAGTCCTCTCCACAGTGTCCACATAGATATGTTCCGTCTGTTGAATTGTTGGATGGACTGACTTGAGGTTTACGGTTTACATAAAAGAATCTTGTTTTTCCGTATGGTTTTGTCACCATACGTACGGTAGTTACACTGCATGGCGCTTTTCATTGAGGAGCTGATACTCAATGACAAGGTCCAGAGACGGTGAGCGTGGCCCCATTTGACACACCAATTATGTGCGTCTTTTGGGGCCCGCGGGATGCGGAGACATCTCATGTTTTTGCAGAATATGTTTCCACGAAGTTGCTCACACTGTTCATATAGATAACAGGACGATTAATTTGGTAGTCTTCCTTTTATCATTTCATTCTTTTGCGATTGTTCACTCCCCTCTCTTCCCATGAACGTAGGTCCCATTCACAGTATCCTTCGTGAGTCGGCTGCTGCTACGTTTGCTCTCCAGAGAGTTTGTGTGAACTATATTCTGGCTCCTATGTCCCATGCGCGTTCACTTTTTTAGGGTGGAAGCAAAGACGGCCAGTCTTGGCTTTGGACGCCCAGACAGGAAGGGCAAAGGTTCTCCCCTTGTGTGCCTCGCTGCCGATGGCCGATAGCTTGAGGAGAGGAGAGAGGTGTCCTTTTGAGCATTTTTGACCAAATGTGAGTTGAGCTGACTCTCTGAGGATCCGAGGTGTAATGGTGCAGACTGAAGATGGCAATCCAGGAGGGAATAGTACTCTGCGCCATGTTGAGCACCGCGTTGTCTTTTCTTTATATGGCCGCAACTGTGCTCTCCTGATGGAGATGTTATATGAGGGTTGCATGTATATGCACGTGTGACCATTTGTATACCCCTCTTTCCCCCTCTTTCCCCCACCCTCACCTACAGTGGTCGCCTGCTTTGTTCACGGCTAAACCTCTTTCCTTAGCAACCCCCCCCCCCCCTTCTTTCCTCCGCCCTGCAATTGTGGCCTGGAGGGATGAATTCAGTGAATTCGTTGGATTCTTCTTCTCTTCATTCTTCCGTCCCCCCTGCCGTACGTTTACTGAAACGCCCGCTGTACATCCCACACGCTTTCCCAGCAGTTTGCAGCATAGAGATAGACCAGCAGCAGCAGCAGAAGGGTCATGTGGTGATCTGTAAATTTGCCCTCAACCATCACCATGATGACTTGACAAACAGAGCCACCTATGATTGACCATAATTGATTGAGTTGATGAGAATTTGAAATTGTTGTGAATTTGTCTAGAGGATGATGACGGAGGTCAGTCGTTTTCCGACGGTGATCGATACAGAGATGGTAATCGATCGATCCATCGCAACGTGGTCTTCTCTGATGCGAGCATTAAAATTAAAAATATACGCAAAAGAAAGCAAAATTTGCACGTACAATGAATTAACAGGCAATGGAGGATTGATGAGCATGACTGGGAAGCAAAATCCGCCGACCTGTCAATCACTTAGCAAAGAAAGAGAAGAGGAAAAGGGAGGGTGGATTGGTGGTGGAACAAGCCACCGACTGATCTGTGGCATTTCCGGCTTGTGATCCTGGACTGTGGAAGCTTGGGTCGGATATAAGCGAGTCATTCGAATTCTTTCAGTGGACCACAGTTAATAATTTTCCGATGCCAGTGATGAATTCTTCTTCTTAACTGTCTTTTCATTATGGTCTGCCTCTCAGAGTTTTACATTGGGGGTTCTGGGCCCCTCTTTTACTTGAAATTTCGCTGTTGCCTCTGTGATAGCGTGCAAACACTTAATGCAGCAGATATGGGATCAAGTGACCAGCAATGGCCGAGGCAACAAATGCCGATAACTCTGCCTGGCAGGGAAACAGGCAGAAAAGCAAACTCCGTCCCTCCCACTCTCTTACCTTTCCATGCTTTCTGCCTTTCACTCTTGTCCACTGTTCTCTTCTTTCCCTCCCTCCCTCGTCTCCTCTCCCCTCTTTGCTCCTTCCCCTCCCTCTCTCTCGCCCTCCACTCCCCTCCATCTTGGATCCCTCCCTCCTTGCCTCCTTACCTCTTATGCCTGCTGAAGCTCAGTGGCCCTGAAAAAACACAATGCAGGCAAAAAGGTAACGGTTTTGTCACGTGCTGACTGCTGAGAAGGGAGCCATGTGTGTAATATAACTGCAATCACTCTTTGATTCGCCAATGAAGTCCTCAAAGCACTCCACAGTGTTTTCTTCTTTTTGAGGGCAGTGTTCCCTGTTTGTCCTCTTCAGTTCAACAAGTATACATGCTGCTTTCCCCTTTTTTTTTCGGTTCAGTTGTTGGTCAACCCTATCTCAATGTGAATCGTAGTCCAGACTCTTGTTGATATTTTCGTTGCACTCTTCTGCCCTAGACCTGCCCATTCCTTCTCAGGTTTCTTTTTGCAACAATGGGTAAACCTAACTACTTATCATTGCCTGTGTCTCAGGGCCTCACTCCATTATTCACCAACTGTGCAAAATGAGAACGGATCTTCCGCTAGAACGTCAAAAGATACGCAGCCATAATTTTGTCTTTTGTGCATCTGGTGAGTAGTGGAGCGAGGCCATCAGTCTGGGGATACTGTATACAGACATTCGATTTAATTTGTTGTACAATGTCTTTCTATTGTTGGTGGAGCAACTGCTTTGTGGTCGTTGTGGCGAACTCTGTACAAGAGGATGAAGATTGCCCTTTATGGATCTGGTACACCGCCTTCACCATCTGTTGCAACTCTGGCCAGCTTCAGGTGCATGTCGATCTGACTGAAGCTTAGCATGCTGATATACCTTGTCTCATCATGCACCCCGCAGTAGGCCAACCTCACGCCTACCTCCTGTCCTCGAGTTCATCTCCCACTCCCTCCCTTTTTCTGAGCCACTGGCCAGCTCCTTCCCCCGCCATGTAGTTTGCTCCTTCATCAACACCACTGTATTTATAAGTGACCGAAGTAGAACAAGCCGTCAGAAACGTAAGCAAAATAACATTAGGTTAGTTCAATGATTGAGATGGTCTGTGCAAAATTATTCCCTTGTTCGGTCATGATAATCCATTCCGAGACCTCAATGGGAACGTGTGCCGATGATGGGTGTAGCAACTTTCAGACTAGAAGCATGGCTTGTGCCATTCGGGTAGCGCAGCTGGGTAGCGAATAGCACAGCTCGAAAACAAATTTGGCACCACTAGGTTCTCAGACTGATTAACGTGGCATTCTGGGAAGAGGCCGTCCGCATGTGGCTGCTAGGAAGGGCAGAGGGTCAGTATCCAGCCTGCGTTATGTCGAGGAGGATGGGTGCTAGCCAGCACGCACGGCAATATGTGTGAGGAAGACAGACATGACCTGGTGCACATCATAGATGGGTGTTGAGTATGCTAGCATGTGGGGTTCAGGAAGGGAAGAAGGTTACCAACAGGACGGGATTGAGGAAGGAAGACGAGCACTGCAAGCACGAGCCATAGACTGGTGCTGGCATGTGGGGTTAAGGGAGGAGAGAAGGTCGCAATCCAGCTCTACGTGAAGATGACGACCAAACGCTGCAGAGAAGATGAGAAAGAATACCGTGCGAGGTGGGGAATACTGTGAAGACGACAACCAGCAATTACGACAAAGGTTTCCATCCAGAAGACGGTGACGGTTAGTGATTGAGAGGACGACTACCGAGAACACGACAACCACCAGCAATGATCACACTCGGGGGACGACAACAACCACTGGGGGATTTGCTTCACCTCTCTCTCAGATGACCGAGAGCGTCGTTCTGGAGAGCGGCCAATCGATTGCTGTGGCGGGCAGGACAACACACCGACCTAGTTTAGGTCAGAAGCGAGCAGCTGTCCAAAAGCAACTCAGAAACTCTGCCAGCTCGTGTAAAACAAGATTATTGTGGAAGTGTGATAAGTTCACACACACAAAGTGCTCACTATACCCTTATAATAATAAACATAGGGATTAAAACGTTGCCATAAGATGTGCTCTCCACGTCAAACTCTCTGATCAGTGTGCCTGGTACTGGGTGGACGTGTATTCCTTATTTGAAAGATGGTGTGGTTGCACCCACGCATGTCATGGGCAATGACAGAGGGCCGTCGCTGTCACAAGTACCCATCATTCAATAATTTCAGAGCATGAAGTTCAGCACTCTCCTGTGCGGTTTGGTCAACCATTTGCACATGGTAGAGGCAGTAAACGTGGTGCGGTTCAAAAGTACACGCTGAACTTGCCCAGGTTTTGAGTGAAGTGGATGCATTGCTAGAACTGTGCCGTGGTCATCCATCCGACACATCCCAGGAGAATGACCGTGGTTAACAAGGGGACTATCCACTTTCACGTCGTCTATTAAGGTGTAAGTGAACAGCCCAAAGGTGGGCAGAGGTTGTCAAGCATTAGGTGACATACATTTAATTATACTCACCCTTCTTACTGTATTATTATGAGCTCAGTTAATTAGTTTCAGTTCCTGCCTTCATTGTAGCGGCAATCCTCTGTGTCTATGCTCTTCTCCTTCATTGCTGATAGTCATTGAATTGGAGACTTGGCATTGTCCCATCTGTGTGCTCTTAGACTCGTCCAGGCACAAGAAAGACTATTCTAATGATGTGTAATGACCTGCCTAACACGGACTGAGACACACAGCTGATTTCTGATTTTTGCTAATGGAATGTATGCCTTACTGAGTTTCCTGCTTGTTGCTGAGTTTTCTAAGTCTGTGTGGGTGCATGCTTGCTGGTCTGCATGCCTGTCTGACTGCTTGTTGGCTTGAGTGTGTGTGACCCACAAAGGCACTTGGTTGATCGGAAGGCCCGAAGGGCCGGTACTCGCCTGTGGCCGTGACATTGAGGGTTGCAGCGGGGAAAACACTCAAGTGGCGGGGAAAGAGGCCCGCGAGTAGCGGAAAACACTACCAGGTAGGTCGGTACCACACCAAGTAGAGATAGATGTGCCGGGTACTCGAGGCTGAGCAGAAGACGACAAAAGTTGGCATTTTTAGAGGCCCAGTAGTTGTAGGCTAGGTCTAGGTGGGTACCAGTCCAACCAGTCTGAGTCTGGGGCCTGTACGGGCAATATCAGAGTCTGCAATGATGTTTCCCTCTGAAAGAGAGGAGGTACCGGTTACTTGGAGGCCGTACGGCCTAGGAAGTCACTCGCCAAGAGGCAAGCGGGCCACTATATCTCCAGGAGCAGCGAGGTGCTCCTCATTTTGTCAGTGTGCAAGTTTGGTGACACACTGGTTGGAGCGCTGGCTAGAGCAGCGCTAGCTTGGAGTAGCGCTGCTGGGGAAGGAGCAAGGACACGGGGACTAGGAAGGGGGAGCGCCGGAGGTACTTATCTGGCTATGGTGGTTGCCATCTTCATGACCTTGGTGGCCCCAGTTGGGGTAGAGCTACACCAAGAAGCTTTGAGGCCGAGTCAGGCATGGCGGCCTGAGCTAGAGCAGCAATAGCTTCTTTGTGTTGTCCTTTGCACAGCAGGGCGATGCCCTGGTAGTCCGCCATAGCCTTGGTCTTGGAGGAAGGAGGAAGAAGGGCGGCCATGGCTATGGTGTACCTCATGTGATACCTGCAGTAGACGAGGGATTGATTCTGGTTCAGCCATTCAACATTATTATTATTATTTCTTGATTGAATAAGAGGGGAGGAGATRAGGAGGAGGAAAGTGGTTGGTGAAGAAGAAGAGCATTATCATTTGTCTATGCTGGTGTACATGATCATCTTCTTCTTTGTGTCTTTCTTCTTCTTATTTCTTTGTGCAATTGGATGGCATTGTACTTGCTTATGAATGTGTACTTCGAAATTGGCCAGGATCATAACATTGGTATCAGAGCGGATTCTACTTGCTGGTGACGGTGGACTTATCCACCCTGACCCTAACCTCAGTGGTTAGGGCTGACCACTTAGGGTTAGGGTTGGTCCGAAGTGGGAAGTTGGGCAGTGTGGATTAGGGAAGCTGCCCCCACCTGGTTAGGTCGTGTTGGGTTGACATTGAAACTGACCAGGTTGATTGAGAGAGAGCTTGTGGTGGCGGGACACATATAGAGGACTTCATGCAACAATTTGAGAGAGGCGACAGTGAGAGGCACTCGCACGTGGAATCTGACCTAAGGGAGACACTTGGTGACTTAAGGGGCTCCCTCAAGTAGGTGATCTTGAGGGAGGTAGCAATTCTGCATCTACGGACTGCAAGTTGCTACTTTGTTCTTCAACATTGATGGGGGATCCGGCGTTGCACTTTGGTGTTGGAATCAAACCCTCCTACATGATATGACACTACTGTAGAGGTAGCGAATAGGGTTAGGAGGACCATATGAGGAAGGGGAGTTAGTTATACTTCATCTCAAAGTCTAGGCCACTCAGGTAAGTGTCGTGCACCTAAGGGTTGCCCACGTGTGCGTGCATGGTATTGTTTGTCCTGTTAAGGTACTTGTGGTTTTCTTTTTTCCTCTAAAGTCTTGGTTGTGTGCAATGGTGTGCAAACTGCTTACTAACCTGATGGATGTAGAGATGAAGTATCTTGCTTTGAATGCCATATCTTTATACAGTGCTTGGTCTTTTCATTCTGAATGGATGTATTCTGTAGGTTCTCTCTTGAAGTTGAAATTCGTTTTTCAGTATGGTAGAGGCAGAAATTAGGACCTTGTGATACTCTTCTTGCTTGGGACTTGGTCGCGACCTACGTGGGCCCCATAGGGGCTCAGTGGGACCAGTCCCAAACAAGAAGGGCCCTTGGACTCAAATTTGTTGACGCAGTGTCGCTCTCTTTTCTGTCTGAAATTCGTTGCTTTTCTTTTTCATTATAGCACTCACTTTCAAGGGGATCTCGGCTGAGATGTTTTGCGGATTGATGATGCACAATCCAATGCTTGACCTGCACCTTATACACCACTCAATTTTCCACTACTGTATGTTGTCATTTGTTGTCCGATTTGCTATACTATGACGATGCCGATCAGATTAGGCTTGAGGGGATCTCGTATTTGGTCTGATCGGACTAAAACGCGGAGTCAGAACCCTCGTCTGAATTATCTTTATTTTATTTTTTTACCAGTTGCTCTTTGATCCAAATATTTTGTCGCTCCGGTTAGGAGTTCTACCTTCTCTTCTTGTGCTTTCAGTTTGTTTCTTTTACTGAAGTCCATTTTATGCCCGTCACGACGCGCGGATAAGAGAGAAGAGAGAGAGAGGTCATGGCAATTGAAGGATCTA